TATGAATAGAGAGAGAGAGGAAAATAGAGAGAGAGAAACCCAAGGCCCATTTTAAAAGATTGTCAAGGATAGTTCCATTAGAGTTGCCTGAGACAATGAATGCCTTCATTTTGGTAGAAATGTTTAAAAATCAGAAGAAAGGCAACACTGAATGCTACATTTGCTTAGGTCTAAGACCCCCCTGTGGTAATTGATGAGGGAGGAAAGAAGGTAAAACCCCAAGGCAAATATGCCCCCCATAGTTCCCTAGTACTGCAGTAAACAAATCTATGATGCTTGTTGAATAATCTTCCAATAATTGCAGTCATTAAAATCATCACACAGTCTACAGTCACCTTCCTTCCTTTGACATACCAGAGTTTTTCTTTTAATTGTTAATGCATTTTTGGTTCACATAAACAGATCAAGGCAGCCTTTAAATGTATGGCCAGACTATATCTAGCAGCAAAGATTAGTTGCATAACAAATGTTTGGAGTCTAATTAATAGACTGGGGGGTTTCAATTTCTCCAATAGACCTTACAGATAAGGATTTGCAGCTGCTGCCACTTTTAAATAGTAGTAACTCTTCTGAGATAAAGATGAAAGTTCCATGGGCCTACTGAGCCTTCCAGGATCTTTTATTTGTAAGGGTTGGCCTTCAGTGGGGACATTATAAAATAGTAAATGAAAACTCAGTGGAAAAAGAAAACTCAGTGGAAATTTGGGAACGTTCTTCGCTTATCAATTAATTTTTTACAGCCATTTGATCTCAAAACTGGTGCTTTAAAAAGTATAAATATGTTAACTATAACAGACTCCCCAAGGCTGTATTTCAGATTTCACCCACAACTGACAAAATCCAACTGCGGAAAGGATTCAGAGGACTCAACAGGCGCTATAGTCTATACTCGCTTCCTTTGCCCCTGTTCCTGCAGGCGATGATGGTACACAGGGCAGTTTTTTTTTTTTTTTAACTCAGATTATTAATGTATCTCCCCAACTCCCACACTGTGCTGACCCGATAATCACTACTGTAGTGTAGATCATGCAAATGAAAAGCATAATTAATTGCGCGAATGATTCAAAACGGGAGCTCTGTGGCTTACAAATAAATAAATAAAGGCAGGTGGGCGGAGGACAGGTCAGATAAACGCTTTTTATCGGCTCCTCTCGCTTTTCTCTCCCCGCCCCCGGCCATGCCAGTCCTGGTGGCGGAAGCTTTGGCAGCAGCCAGCAAAACCCTAGCGAGAACCTTCGGTTCCTCCTCCCCCAAAGCCTCTCCTCCCGCCCACATCCTCCAGTCTCCCCAACTCCACCTCACCCCACCCCCGTGCGGTAGATCCGCTGCTAATCTCTGCGACAGGTCAAAGCCCCGAGGGAGGGTAGGCAGCCACTAATATTTCTAGTTTCTCACAAGATAACTGGTCCTCCCCGTTCCCACCCTGCTTCCTGGGCAGCAGGGAGAAACATTTTTTTTTCGCGTGGCGTTGGTGCTGCAATCCTTCGGATCAGCGCTAATGACGGAATTGTTTCCCGGCTTTGCCTCCCAAGCGCAGCAACTTGAGCAGTTGCTCAGATCAAAGCTCTCTCGGGAGAGGCAAGATGGGGGAACCAATATTTGTTCAAAGGAAGTGAACTCTTCCCTTTAATTACCCTATTCTTCTTTATTAGGATTCCTATTGAATTTTTTTTTGCAAAAAAAAATATGTTGATTTAACCATAGTGTATTTACCATGTAAATATATTCCAAGATGAAAACGTCATGGATCAATTGTAAAGGACCCGGATACATAATTTTAAAAAATCAGTTTCAGTGTATATGAGGTTCTCACCCCACTTTCGCTGCTCAGTCAGATTTGTTTATGCAGAATCGACATTTAATAGTGCTAATTGCACTCCAGTTAAATTGCCCTGATTGCAGAAAGGGAAGCAATTTTCGTGCTCTCTGTCTGGGTTTGGAAGAAATTGTTTTATATTCACCTCTTTATAAAGAAGTGGAGATAAGGCACCGGGGCCTTTGCACAAATTGCACTTAGGGGCTGACTGGCAGCATTCAGGCGCTATAATAGAGCATTATTTGGCCGTTTTGAATAATGTAAAGCATTTGCTGAAAGCTATTCTCCTGAAAATTGCTTTAACTTTTAAAAGGGTGATGATTCACTCCAAACCAGGCCTTTGTTACATTGTCATTATTTCCCCAAATGTTTTAACAGTCAGCTCAACACTTTAGCATAACACATTGATCTTTGTTTAAAAACTAGATTTTTTAGGGGATGAAAAAAATCTGTCAGACGAAAAACACACACACACACCAGCAACTGGACCTTTTCGGAAAAGATTTCCTTAGGGCCTCGAGTAGAGTTGAAGTGGTCCTGGTATCTGCCTGCGTTCATTTGGAAGGTTTCCCTAACTTTTATTGTGATGCGAACGCATGTATCTGGAGGGATGTCGGAGTGCCCTCATGGAGTCTGACAGCTGGAACTACATTGAAAACGGCAGCAGGGGGAGGGGAGGAGAGGGGTGAGGAAGAGGAGGAAGCGAAAAGGAGGACAACAAGGTGCCTGGAGCCCGAGGTGCCAGTGTGAATTGTTAAATGCTTGACTTGAAAATGTCACCAGTACTAAGTGGCTTTTCGGATTGTCTTATTTATTACTTTGTCAGGTTTCCTTAAGGAGAGGGTGTGTTGGGGGTGGGGAGGAGGTGGAAAGGGGAAACCTCCGCGCTTCTCTTCCCCGGGCTGTATCGAGTCGGAAACGCCTCGCTGCCACTTAACAATCCCTCTATTAGTAAATCGACGCGGAGACTCTACAGGAAGCCGAGTGCCAGTCTCTCCTTCCAGGATAAAAGTCACCTGTTGGGAGGGTTCCCGGGTCCCTCTGCGGGCTTTCCGGCTCTTCCGGGCTGCCTGGATTTCCCCCAGAATCTCCATCCTGAATCCCTCCTGGGGCATTTCACGCCTTTCTACCCCCCACCCCCCTTCTCTTTCCATTTTCACCACGGTCCCCCAGGGCACAGCGCCCCATTAGAACCGTACGTGTCTTCTCACTGACTTCTTTTTCTCTTCCTCTGTCTATTTCCTTGGTGTTTTTGCTACCTTAAACAAACAGGAAGCATTCCAAGTGAAAGTATTTTAACGAAAAGCAAAGAAAACGACCCAAATATCCCTCCCACCCAAGGAGTGCGCCAGGACGTTCGCAGGCTCAATCTTAGGGCCGAAAGAAGAGCCACTTTTGGACCAAGAGATCTTGCAAAAGAAGAGAGAAAACACTGGGGGCATAGTTGCTCCTCACTTGCTCCCCCCTCCTTGACAACTAGTCTTTTACACAGAACATTTGGGGTTCGCCGTTAACAATTTCTTTTAAAGAGCAGGCTGTGGCTTTATGTGGCTCATTAGAACCAGTATCCAGGTCTGCCAGAAGGCACTGAGATTTCTGATACGAAAGCAATCCCTAGCTGCCCTGAAGAAGAAAGAGAAAGCGAGATCCAGCAAGAAGAGAAACCTACGGCTCACGGTTGCTGAGTGACTGCAGGATGAGCAGTGGTCTGAGGACACCTTTCTGCACTCTGCCAAAACCGGCAGAGGACTTTAAGATGCGCCCACTCCGAATGTGACGGTACCCACGTGTGACCTCATCTGGCACACTCGCGGCAGGGGTCCCCAAGAGACCACTTGAGCACTTCCACGAAAGCAGGGCTCCAGGAGGGAGCCCACCTCTTGACAGGCGCCCTAGCACTGCAGAGAAGCCTCTAGGCCCAGGCGGTCTGGAGTGAAAGTGGGATGGAACTGGGGCAAGAAACCTCGGCTCCTGGTTGAAACGTGACATGCAAATCTTCACTGGGTTAAACAAACAGCCGAGCAAAGCTGCAGCTCCAGCGGGGGTGGCGGTGGGGGCGGACGCGGCTCGCGCCGGTCTCTGTTTCCAAAGTTGTTATAGTGTGAAAATAAGCGGCTTCGTGCAGCGTGTTGTATGGGCTGATGCCTCCCACCCCCATCTCAGCCCCCAGCGAAATCCGGCAGATAATCAGCACATCCCACTGTTTAGTCATATTTGACAACTGGGTTAACCTGGTATCTAGGCGCTGGCGAAACGGTACAAAGGGTGCCCTCAATTACCACCAGAAGCTTCTAGTGTGAGTGGCACTTGTATTACCCCCCGGGTCAGAGGCCAGAGCGACAATTAGGAAGTCACTTAGATCACTTGGGGAAATGGCGGGATGCAGCAGGCTCCAGGCCCTCCCAGCAAGTCTGTGGGTGTAGACCTGGACGGAGAGGCCTATTTTCATCCTCTCAGAGGAGCTGTCCCTCTGCTCCCTCGCCTCAATTTGACTCAGAGATTTGAGTAAAACTGAATCCAGTGGGGAAAACGAACAGGGTAGGAGACAAACGCCAACGATGAACCCGCGAGGAGAATGATGGATTCCAACTCAGGTTGATCTCCTCAGGCGAGAGCCTGGACACACTAAGTGAGCCTTGACATTTCCATCTCCACTTGGGCCTGGCTGGTGCTGCCTCGCCTTGGCGCCCCCTCCCCTCCAGCCTTCTTTCCCACAAGTAGGGAGTGGAGTAGGACTGTTTCACCTAACTTGCATCCTGTCGGGGTGGTTCGGGGGGCTTGTGGCTCGGTCTCAACGGTACTTAAATCTAGCTTGGTGCGGGTGTGTAAATTTTTAATTGCACTGTAATTTCTTCAGTCCCTAGCCCGCGACCTCCCCCCACCCCGAGCTAGCGGCTTTGACTGGCACGCGCCGGGAGCGGGCTCGGGGCCCTCAGCGCGTCTGATTGGCTGTGGGGCAGCTCCCGTCTGCTCTGCCTGAGCCCTCATTGGGCGAGAGGCGCAGCCAGCGGCACTTCAAAGCGGGTGCTCCTAGCACTTAGGCTGAGTTTAGTCCGCGGGAGCCCGGAGTCCGCTCGGCGCGAGCGCGGGGACGCGGGAGCCTCGCGGAACCCGAGCAGTTTTTCCCGGCAGCCGCCAGGCTCATCCCCGCTCCCGGCCCCGCTGCGCAGCCCAGGGACCTGCTATGGCCACGTCTATACTCGGGGTAAGTCGGAAGTGCGGCGACGCATTTGCTTGTTTTAACTGGAGTTATTTTTCGTTATGGCTTCTCCTGGTCTGCGGTTCCGGAGAAACTGTTGCTGCTGGACTGCAGCATCAGCTTCTTTTAGCACTTTCCACGTTTCCAGGCTGATTTTTTTCCAAGTGATTGGAACCTAGGAGATGCCTTTGTGAGAAAACGGTGTGTTAAGCGAGCGCCTTTTTGGTTTTAAAGAAAGCGTAGAGGTTTCTTTTCTTGCCCTCATGATTTATACCCCATCCCCCCTTGCTTCGGGGATTGTTGCAATTACGCGACAGTGGTGTTTCCAGAAAACATCCTGAATCGTTTTGCAGTCCATGTAGTCACGTTAACATTTACACTTCTGCGGCTCCCCAGTTCGCCTTGCACTTTGAAATCCGTCTCTGGGTCTCTCTTCTTCACATTGTTGTTTTCGTAATCGGGTTTTTGTGTGTGCAAACATTAAAAACAACGTTTTCTGTTAAAAGAAGAGTCAAGTCATAGCCACCCTTGGGAGGAGCGCCTCAACTTTCCTCCCGCTCCTGGGGCGCTGTTTTGGCCGCCCCAGTCTCACCCAGTGTTTGTTGCTGCTGTGTTTACCTCGGTGCTTCACCCTGAAGGGCGATTGGGGGGCTTGTGAGAGAGGAGCGGGTTTACTTCGAGTGGCAGGCAAGAAACCCGAGTCGGGCTCTGAGCAGGGGTTGCAGCGACGGAGGTGGAGAGAACCGAGACATCTTGGACTGCAACCCTGCTGAAGAGCAACTTTCCAGCTCCCGGACCCTGGCCCTTGCGACCGTCCGCGTCCCGCGCGGGGAGCGCGCAACTGCGGCGAGTGCGCGGGGAGGAGACGCGGGCCGGGGCGCGGCGACCCCCCCCCTTGCGCCCGGGACCCGCCGCTGGGGGACAAGGCGGCTCACGGGTGCACTTTGTGTCTTCCCCCACTTCCTCTCGCCCTCCTTGCTCCCTCCCCTCCCCCTCTCCAGGAAGAGCCGCGCTTCGGAACGACCCCGTTGGCCATGCTGGCGGCGACTTGCAACAAGATTGGCAACACGAGCCCGCTGACGACGCTGCCGGAGTCCAGCGCCTTCGCCAAGGGCGGCTTCCACCCCTGGAAGCGCTCCTCATCCAGCTGCAACCTCGGCTCCAGCCTCTCGGGCTTCGCGGTGGCCACCGGCGGCCGCGGCTCCGGCGGCTTGGCTGGCGGTTCGGGCGCCGCCAACAGCGCCTTCTGCCTGGCCTCCACGTCCCCCACGTCGTCCGCCTTCAGCAGCGACTACGGCGGCCTCTTTTCCAACTCGGCGGCGGCCGCGGCGGCAGCGGCCGGCGTGTCCCCGCAGGAGGCGGGCGGCCAGTCGGCCTTCATCTCCAAAGTGCACACGACGGCGGCCGACGGCCTGTACCCGCGCGTGGGCATGGCGCACCCGTACGAGTCGTGGTACAAGTCGGGCTTCCATTCGACCCTGGCGGCGGGCGAGGTGACCAACGGCGCGGCGTCGTCGTGGTGGGACGTGCACAGCAGCCCGGGCTCGTGGCTGGAGGTGCAGAACCCCGCTGGGGGGCTCCAGAGCTCGCTGCACTCGGGCGCCCCCCAGGCCTCGCTGCACTCGCAGCTCGGCACCTACAACCCCGACTTCAGCTCGCTCACGCACTCGGCCTTCAGCTCCACCGGCCTCGGCTCCTCTGCCGCCGCCGCCTCGCACTTGCTCTCCACCAGCCAGCACCTGCTAGCCCAGGACGGCTTCAAGCCAGTGCTGCCCTCCTACTCGGACTCCAGCGCGGCCGTGGCGGCTGCCGCCGCCAGCGCCATGATCTCCGGTGCCGCGGCAGCCGCCGGGGGGAGCTCAGCGCGCTCGGCCCGCCGCTACTCCGGCCGCGCCACCTGCGATTGCCCCAACTGCCAGGAGGCCGAGCGGCTGGGCCCGGCCGGGGCCAGCCTGCGGCGCAAGGGCCTGCACAGCTGCCACATCCCGGGCTGCGGCAAGGTGTACGGCAAGACCTCGCACCTGAAGGCGCACCTGCGCTGGCACACGGGCGAGCGGCCCTTCGTGTGCAACTGGCTCTTCTGCGGCAAGCGCTTCACGCGCTCGGACGAGCTGCAGCGGCACCTGCGGACTCACACCGGCGAGAAGCGCTTCGCCTGCCCTGTGTGCAACAAGCGCTTCATGCGCAGCGACCACCTGAGCAAACACATTAAGACGCACAACGGGGGCGGCGGGGGTAAAAAGGGCAGCGACAGTGACACGGACGCCAGCAACCTGGAGACGCCCCGCTCCGAGTCCCCCGACCTCATCCTGCACGACTCGGGCGTCAGTGCGGCCCGGGCGGCCGCAGCGGCGGCGGCGGCGGCGGCGGCTGCGGCTGCAGCGGCCTCGGCGGGAGGCAAGGAAGCCGCGTCTGGCCCCAACGACTCTTAAGAGGCCGGGCGACAGGCGCGAACGCGTAGAGACATGGAGAGTGAGCGAGGTTCTGAGGGCGAGCGAGCGGGCGAGCGGGCGACGGACGGGCGGGGGCTCCAGCGACGCCCCCCGGCCGGCGCGAGGTGGAACAGCGCCCGCCTCCCGGGCAGCCGCTCGCCAGCCACGCCTGGAGCGCCCCGCTGCTGTCCGAGCCCAGACGAAAATCCAACGCGTGGTCCAGGAACAAAAGCGAACCATCCTACACAAATAACACTAAAAATCTGCGCGCACACACACACACACACACACACACACACACATACCGGAGTCCTACAACCATAAGCACGCATTTGCGCGCGCGCAAACACACACACACACACACACACACACACACACCACTTGCACAAACTTCTCGAGCGAAGAGCAATACACAGAAACGTTCCCTTCTCCCCCATTGCCCATCCCTCTCTACTACCCTTCCCGTTCCTTTTCTCAAAAACAAGCCACCACCTTTGCAAAGGACTGTCAGAACATTTGAAAACAAACGGGACCTATAAAAACAGACCCTTTGTGTGGATTATATTATATATAAAATGCTCCAAGTCCTGCTTGATATCTACTTACAATGAGACTTTTTCCTAAAAAAGGAAGCATCAAAAAGGCTGAAGGTGAGAAATTAAACTGGAAGTCTAGTGAAAGTTTCTCTGTATTTCATAACATCTGTATAAATAGGGTTCAAAAGATTGTGTTCTCTTTTATTTTCTTGTAAATGTTCATTCGAATAGAGTTTTTTGGTGAATTCCTGAAATTCAGGGAGTTTTTTTAATTTTCTGATGCACTTTGTGAAAGTCAGTATATATGTAAAAGATATTTAAAATGTTGAGTTATCATTTCACTCACAAACACGTAAGTTAAGGTCATCTAAAGAAATTAAATGCGTTTATCTGTATGAAGAAAATCTTGACATCATATTTTCATTTTGGTATTATTAAAGGACTCTAAACAATACACTTCTTTTTTTTTTTAAAATCCTGTTCCCCCCCCCCCCAGTAACCTTTATTTGGGTTGATTTTTTTTGTTGTTGGGAGAAAATTCTCTTAATGTTAGTTTTAGTAATGTAAGGTTATATGAGTTATAAAAGCCATAATACATATACATTTTTGAGAAGTTTAAATTATTTATTTGTATATATAAACAGCGTAAATTAAATTGGGTTGTAAGAATGTCTAGTTGTATTACTTAATGGGAAAGGCCTCACAAGGTGATATTTTAAAACTGGAGTGCCTAGGGGAGAGTGGGGGGAAGAAAGGTCCTTGGTAGCTTTAACTGGGGAGGTGTCTACACCTCTCGGAGGGGTCAGACTACAGTGGGTTTGTTTTTAAAAAGTGATTTTAAAACAATCTGTGAAAGGTAAAAGCTTTTTAAAGGAAGTCTTAGCTCCCAAGACCCTCTACGCTGGGAGGCAACTCAGGGGAATAAATCGCTAGAGTCAATACCCCGGAAAAGACATTTCATGCCTAAATGAAAATCTTGTTAAATGTTATTAATTTTGACTTAGAGCACACAGCAGCCCCCTGTGCCTTGTATTCCCTTATTAGGGATTCATGTCTTATCAAATATCTAATTAATCTCCTAGACATCATTTGTTCTGGCCAACTTTATCTCAGCTGGTCCACGGGGAAAACTCCAAATATTCTCCGTGACAAAGCTCCCTTGAAGATCTTTTTAATTGTCTAAATTAACTGCACCAAATTTGCATGTCAAACGGTAAAGGGCAACCTGAGATAAAATGTAAACGTTTTAAAAGCCCCCAAACTAAGCACTTGATTTGATAACTAGGCTTTTTAATGTTATGGAAGACAACTGCTCCTTTCCTTTTCAAAGACGGCTGATCTATGCAAATAGTGAATTGGAAATGCCTAGGTCCCCGCGCCGTCAAATGGCCCTCGCAGGTTATTTGAATATCAGTGGCGCTGCTTCTGAAAAGGTTCAAGGATGCTCTCTGACTTCTTTGTGATTACTCAGTGCGGCGTCTTATTCTGAAGAAAAAAACTCAGGAATAATTAAAGGCTGGGATCAGGCCTGGGAACACATTTGGGACAGGAATCTCATTTAGACAGTCTCTTTCAAAATAAGGCACAGTTAAATTGACCAGAAGGCAATTATTGAAATGAAAATTATTTTCACTCTCTTTGTCTTCTGACCACCAACTTAACAGCCCAGTTTAAAAGAGAAGGAGAAGGAAGGAGAGACGAAAAGAAAATTGGTAAATGAGATAATTTCGCAATTCGAAAAAAATGTTAATTTAGAAAATAAAGTACATTATTTACAGAATAAAAATATTTCCAAAAAGGCTCCCCACACAATAGGAAATACAAGCAAAGTCAACCCCAATGGAAAAAAGATTTTTTTTTTGGGTTGCTGTCCGTCTTGGGCACTTGAATGGAGGTTTTGATTTGGGGGGAAGAAAAATGGTGTTATGGACAAACAAAATGTTATCTCGCAAACTCTGTGCTTGTAAAGCCAAAAGCAGAAGAAGCGATAAAACATACAGCGAAGGTCTCCGGAGGGCGTTTGCCGCGTGAGGTCCGGTGCCTTCTTCACTCTCCTTTTTGTCGCCTCAACCTCGACTGCCCCGCTCTTCTTCCTCGACTTTTCCTTTACTTTGGCTATTTTCCCTCTCAGCTCAAACACTTTATAACCCGACCCCACCCCTCCCCGCGAGCCTTCTGGTTAAGGTCGAGCCTTCTGCAGAGGCTGGCAGCGGTGCGTTTACTCCCGGGCTTTGGGACTGAGCGCGGGAGGCCGAGACGGTGCCTGGCGGGTTTGGGGGTTGCGGGCGGTCATGTGGAGGTGAGGGTGCGGTGGAGTTTCCGGAGGAATGAGGGCGCCGGGGCGTCTGTTCCAGGGAGCTTTGTTTCTTGTCGATAATAAAGGCAGATCAAAGGGCCTGGCCGCTCAGGTCCCGCTCGCCGCGCGGTTCCCTCCGCAGCCCAGTGATCAAGGCCTCTGCGCTCTGCCGTTGCCCCGCGGGTCAGCAGACGTCCATCACCGCGGCTCCGGGGAACGGCGGGCGGCGGCCGGGGCTCCAGCGTCCAGCCGCGAGAGCAGAGCGCGCGGGACTGAACCCGGAGACAGCGGAGCCCCAGACCCTGGCCCAAACCCGCAGGAAAACAGATCCCAGCCCTCCCTCTGCGCTAGCGCACCCGGGGGAACCGCGACTCGACCGGGTGGTTGGTTGTAAATTGTGTAGAGCGTGCTTGGGAGGGCAGAGCCCAGCAACCCAAGACCAGTTGCGTCTCCACATGAGGTGGGGCCGCTGCCCCCTCACCTCGAGGCTCTGGAGACTTGGGCAAAAGGCAGGGGGCCGGGATCAAGGATCTGCGGCCTGGAGGCCCGTGCTGGGCTCGGGGGCCGAGGCCTGGAGTCTGGGGTACAGACTCGGGCACCGAGTCCCACTCAGGCAGGCATGAGGGGAAACACGATTTCGTTTCAGCGGGTTTCTTCCTGCGCTTCCTGTTCTGCAGCTTCCTGCGCAGCGAGGGAACGAAGACCAAATTTTCCTCGGCCCTGAGCCCACTGGCCAGCCCCAACCTACACCCTCCCCCGGCGATTTCCTTTTCTGACTACTTTTTCCCCCTTGGAATGAATTTAATCCTACCCGATGGAGAAAAAGAAAAAAAGAAATGAGATTTTCCCCTCCCAAGGTGGGAAAGCAACGTTACTTTGAAGAGATTAGATTGCGCACCTGAGCGGCGTGTCTGGACATTCCATCAAATCATTATAAGTCGTGTAAGACTGAATTTCTTTTTATTCAGATGGAAACTTTATTTATTTTAACTCTAATCTTATTTGCATCTATTATCTGTATTCACGAAGGCTCTCTCCCACTACAAAAATGCAGATGAAGTAAATCTCACATAAATCCCGCCCATTTGTGTAATTGGTATACTAAGTGTTTATTTTAAGTGAGAATAATTTAGCTACAAATTTTCTTAAGGAATAACATTCTTAACACATTAAAAAAAACTGAAAACTCTGATTTGCTTTTATGTTTGACAGTCGCTCTTGATTCCCATAAGAGGAATTTGGTGAGTGCGGCTCGCTGGCGCCATCTAGAGCACCAGGCTGGGAAAGCCGCGCTGTCCGCCCTGCTCCGCACCAATAGCGCGGGGAGACCCGCCTTTGCCGCGAGCTACAACCACCAGGCGAATCAAGGGAAAGAAAAAGCGAGTTTTTATGTTGCCAGGGGTACGAGTCCCGTTATTGGGGGACACTACTTATCAGTGGCTAGCTCTCGGGGAAGGGAGTCGTTTTTGGAAAGGTCTAAATGAGAATCCATCCAAAACAAAACAACGCCCTACTTGACCCTAGTCTTAGAATTGTCGCGTTTATCATCTCTTTTAAGGCGACTTCAGGTTCTTCCAACTCCGAGTTGAGCACGTTGGGCGCTGTCAGCAGCGATGTGGGTCGCGGGATCCGGATCCCGCAATGGGCGCAGCCCCCGCGCCTCTTAGCATAAAGACTCCCGAACCCCGAGTCCGGGTCGGCGAGGCCCGATTGGACTACCCTGGACCGATCAGAACCAAACTGGTTAAAACATGCACAATGACTGTCCTGCGTCCCCAGGCCCCCTTTTGAAGATGGGGAGAGCGAGGCGCCCGCAGCTGTAGCCAGCCGGGACGCGGGGATGGTCGAAGATGCCTCTGGCCTTCCGCACTCCTCCAGGCGACCGTCCTGCCCACTCGGGTCCGGGAGCGTTGCTGGGAGTCTGGGGCTGGAGGGGCGCGCAGGAGCCTCGGAACCTCTCGCCCAGCTCTCCGAAAGAGTCCTCGCTCTTTCCCGGCTCAAACCTACCCCCTTTGTCACCACCTTTCCCCTTTTGAAACCCCAATTTAAAATCGGATAACAGTTGGGGGCGTTGACCAATTTTCTCTCCTCTCGGAGCTTCGCCCTCCCCCCGCCGCCCCTTTCCCTCCTCTTCCTAGTCCACTACCTCCCACCTCCCACCTCAGTCC